GTTTTTTTTTTTTTTTTTTTTTTTTTTTGGTACCAGGGAATGAACTTGAGACCTTGCGCTTGCAAGGCAGGCAGCAGAACCACTGAGCTAAATCCCTGGCCCCTATTCACACCTTTTTTAGTACTCCGTGAGCTGCAATGTTAAACTCAGAATCTCTGCTTAACGGGCCCATATCGACAAATTCGGCCTGATTCAGGTGTATTTTTTGCCACCGCTATCCCACACCCTTAAAATCCACTCCCACACTTGCCTCTGCTTATGAGTTAGAAACTCAAGAAGTTCTTTGGAAGTACAGTGGGCCTCATCACAGGTCACACTGCGTACCTCACAGAGGTACAGAGGAGCCTTCTGAGATTTGAGCCTGGTTATAGGCCTAGAGGCAAAAGTGGGTAGTGAGGGTGGCTACTGAGGAGTGCCAGCATTATCATGCTTGGTCAATGCGGGATTAGTTTCCTCGGGTGTCAGGCGAGAGGCCAACATCACAGGGCTGGTAATGCCTCCACCACTGCGTGTAGTGAAGTCTCTTCCTCTGGCTAAATAATCTCATTAGAGTGGAGGTGCTCCGTGTCCCCAACCTCACCAGGATCCTCCCAGGCATCTTTGTCCCAGCTTACAGGATCCATTCTTTTCCAATCAGTGCTCTCTCCTTTACTTCAGATACTCTTCAAGGCTGAGCATTAAACTTATGCTGCGTTTCAGCCAATTGAATTAGGAGGGACTGTGTCTGGGTTTCAGCGATCTCAGCCCAGTGGCTGAAGGAGACAAGATTCTTTTTCAGGACACATCTGGAAACTGTTAGATTCATCCTATGTGTCTGGAGCTGAGAATTTGGATGTTTGAGCTCCTTATTTTCTTTCATTAATTTGTCCTCATAGATAGAAGACTTGGTTTTCTATGCATGTTTTGAACTCATTATTTTCCTTCATTATTTTGTCCAAGATGCTAAAAACAATCAGCCAGAAATGTTATATTTTCCACCCTGCCAAAAGCATTCCAAAGTATAATATATGGAGTCCTTGCATCTCACAAGTGGTAAATCAGGATAATCAAATGGATCTATGTCACATGTTACTTTAAACAGTTCATACCATGGACTCCTCCATACTTCCATCATCAGAAAGAGAGACCCTGGCATCTTTAGGGCTCATCCAATAAGAAGGCCAACCAATAAGAAGGAACCACTAAAGCCATTAAAGAATTTCATCATTACAGTTCTGTCTCTCTAACAGCACTCCCAGGGCCAAAATCTGTATCAGTCAGTGTTCACAGATTTTAATATAAGACACACACACACACACACACACACACACACACACACACACACACACCCCTGCAGAGCAAAGCATGGAGGAATGCAAAAGGGCTGTTTGCACGCTGGATTTCTGAAGGGTCCAGTCCAAAACTAAAGGCTCAGAGCTCACAAGAGAGTCCCTTGCAAGCCTATATCAGGAGGCGGAAGGTTCTCCACTGGAAGGCTGAAGAGTCTGTGCTGCAAGGCTGGATTCTGCGCTAGAAGCCAGGAGATGGATCTCCACGGTGAGGGCGAAGGCTGGGGCTCCTCTAAAGAAGAGAAGCAAGACTTCCTTCTTCTGCCCCCCTTTCATTCCGTTCAGGCTACAAGCCTGCTGGCTGGTGCCACCCACACTCGGGGTGTCTCTTCTATCTTCAGTAATCCATTCGGCCACACCCAGAACAGTGCTAAGCCAATCAGTTGGGTGTTTCTTATTCAAGTTGACACACCAGTTAACTATCAAGAAATCATCAGTGGGTTAATCACTACTTGGTTAATGCCCTCAATCCACGAGTCTTTATGGAACACTTCATACTTAAGCCATAACGTCTATTTCAGTTAGATGTGGAGGAGCTTGCACTGGATTGGCTGTAGGGTGCCTGCATGGATGGTGGTGAGTTGGAGAACATCCCTCAAGGGCTGGGTGGCTTTTCAGCAATTCCATTTTGGACTTGGTTTAAACTGCTCAAGTCCACTCTGTTCTTCACATGCCTCAGTAGGTAGTTGGGCATACAAGACTGGAACTCGGAGGAGGTGTTTAGGTTGTAGCTACGAATCTGGGAGTCATTATGTAAATTTAGGACTTAAAGCATGGGGATCAATGGGCTTTGCTGGGAAGAGTGGAGGAGATTCTGAGGAACCCCAATACTTAGTAGCTGGGTGGAAGAAAGAGATCTTAGAGAAGCAGTCGGTACTGTAGGAGGACCCCAAGCTGTAGACTCACCTCTCAGTTGGCTTTTGCCAGGTGTCACATGCCCACTGGCCACACAGGGTCAGCAGCAACCGTGTTAGACCATGAAGCACTAGGGACCTCATTGTCTGAACTTGGGGCCCTCACTCATGAAGGGAGCGATGAAAGCTCAGCTTGGCTGAAGGTTGTGATAAGGAAAACACAATTACAGTTCCAAAAAAGTGGCTCTTATGCTATCACTGTTATTTTATTTTTCCAGAATGTAGGTACTTCATCTTTTTCAGACTGAGAAAAAATGGCTATTACGAGCTTTCCAACAATACAAAGAAAGGGATAGTCACCTAGGATCTCAGTCTCCAGTTCTGATATACACCTTTTCTGACTTTAAAAAAATGCCTGTCTTGGAACACTTTTTCATTTTGATTACATTGCCAGGTACAATTCCCAGAGTTTGGACAAATGTATACTGTCCTGTATACATTTTATTACATGTTAATTTCATTTTAATAAAACATGACAGCTAAAGAGAACCTCATTAAAATATTTTAACAGAAATATGATTACAGTTAAATGTGTTATTTGTGATCAGCTTGTTTTTAATTATAAAAGTTATGCAGAATCAGCTGTGTGTTGTGGCATGTGCCTTTAATCCCAGCACTCTAGGAGGCTGAGGCAGGAAGACTGAAAGCTTGAGCCCAATTTGGACAACTTTGCTAGACCCTGTCTCGAAATATAAAATACAAAATAAAGGGCTGGAGGTGTAGCTCAGTGCAAAGGTCCTAGGTTCAATCTCTAGTACCACAAAAAAATTGTGGATACTCATAAAAATTCAAACAATATAGCATTGAAAAACTAAATGCTAGTTGTCCTTTACTCTCTGTCCTATTCCCCAGGCCAACTGTGATGAACAGCTTGGTGTGTAACATTCAGACACACGCACACATATATGATCACACGAACACATACATGTGTAAATGTGACAAAAGATTGGAAAGACATGTTCATGGGCAACTTGCTATTTTGCATTTACTGCATTCTTTTTAAATACCTCATTATGTTCTATAGGGTGGGAGCACTTTGATTTATTTAACAAATACCTTATTAGACTCTACCCAATAGTACAAATAAAACCTTGGTTTCCTAAAAATTTACAATTCCTAATTGCATTTCTGTTGTGACATAAAGAGTGTCATTAAAAAGATTTGTCTTTTTAAAAATAGAGACAGGCTATTTTGTAATTTGGATGAGACAGCTTCTTAAAACGGATACTTTTTAAAAACTTCTATTTTGTTCTACTCTTTTTGATAATGAGCGTCCTTTGTCATAGTCATTTTCCATCACTGGGATGAAATACCCGACACCTTTAACTTAAAGGAGTAGAGGTTTATGTTGACTCACGGTTTTTGGAGGATTTCATCTGTAGTTGGCCCGCTCCAAGGCAGGAAAGGCGTTGTGGAAGGGACTGGAGGAAGGAGAGCTGCTTGCTTCAGGGTAGCCCGGAAGCAGAGCAGGGGGAGGAGCCAGGGAGGGAGAGAGACAGGCCCATCCCGGCCACACTCACAGCGACCGGTCTCCAGCTCAGACTCCGGCTAAACTAGTATCCGGCTCCGAACTCTGCAGGGGCTCAATCCACTGATGAGTATAAGTCCCCTCGTTACCCAGTCACCTTCCAAAGGCCCCCCTCTGACTATATGAGCCTTTGGGGTATAGTCTAGTTCTAAACAGTGACATCCTTCTACATAATCTGTGTCCAGAAGTCTCAATAGACCAGAGAAGATTCACATGTAAAAATTTGAAACAAGTTACCAGCTTGAAAGTAACTTTTAAGTGAAAGCCATTTCTTCCCCTGCTGGGGTACGTGTCTCCCGAATACTCTCACAGTCTCACCTTCCTCCCTCAGTCTGGACAGGCTGTTAGCAGATTAGTGGCTTCCCATTTACATTTTAACATATAATTCTCTGACTATGCTGACATTGACCCTCTTTTTCAATGTCTTAGCTATCTGAAGGCTCCTCTTGCCAAATGTACAAACTGAAAAGGATTTGTTAGCAAAGGACTTTGAGTTTCATTGAACTTGGAGCCAGAAAACCCTGGGTTCAAGGCCCATCTCCTCCACAAACCATGGTTTGGCTTTGAACAAGTTGCTTCTGCTCTCTGACCCTCTGAATCTCTGTCTAAAACGGAAGATGCTTGCTCTGAGCACCTCAGGTCTACCAAACTCCTCCAAAAGACACATTATGGATGCTGGAAAGGTGGCAGTTAGGTTAGGAGGAGCTGTGAGGCTGGGTGGATCACTGGTGTAACTGGCTGCATCTGTGTGGTAAGCTCCCTACGGCAGGAGAAAGTCAAGCATTAGCTGGTCAAATACATACAGGGCTCCCACAGGAGTCCCTGTTAGGGTGACTGTAGGGATTTCATAGTCTCCAATATTCTGTGGCTCTCAGATTTTTCTCCCTTCGGTCAAGTCCCTCCTCCTAGGACTTGAATTAGGAAGATAAGTATTTGTTTGGCTCAAGCAGGTCTAAACACCCCAGGGAACTGTGGGTAAGGGCTTTGATTCTGTGGGTGGTTGTGTCCCTGTGAGGCTCCAGGGAGGACAGCATAGAGCCTTCCCGCTTCCCGTCATCCCTGTCCCAGGGGCCCAGTTCCCTCCACGAATCCTCCTTTGCAATCTGCCAAACCACAGCCTGCTGAGAAGCCCAGGGTCACGTGATTTGGGGCCCTCTCATTGTAGGTTTGTTTCTGATGCTGTCACAGGCATGACCATTGTCACCATCTTGTTCTTCTTCCCGTCCCAAAGGCCTTCTCTCAAGTGGTGGCTTGACTTCCAAGGTAAGAGGGTCAAGGCTGGGGCCTGGTTGGGCTCAGTGTGGATGGTGGCAAGGCATGTAGGGGTCAATGGCTTGGAGTCCCACAGTACCAACACGTGGTCCTGCATCTCCCCTTGCACTGTCTGAATGGTTGCCTTATCTGGGGACCTCGGGCTGCCCAAGCTGACAGTACAGTACGGGTATTAGCAACTGTAATCCCTGGGCTGGAGCCAGAGATGTCTGCTTTCATACAACCTTTGAGCTAAGAGTGATTTTCACATTTTCAAACAGTTGAAAAATATTCCCTGACAAGAACGCTGCATGGCATTCAAACGTCAGTGTCCACAGGAGACGAGGCGCTCCAGGGCTCCCTAAGCAGCTGTGTGGGGCTGGGGACTCGGCACCTCCCTTGCTGTGCTGCCCCGTCTGCCTTGCAGCTGGCTCTGCTCCCGGTGCCTATCTTTGTGCGCATGTGTGGCTTCTGCTTCACGTTAGTTCCTGCTTTTCCATAGCTTCCGTGTCTCCCTCTTCGCCGATCCTCTTTCTCCCACTGCCAACTCCCCAGGACTTCTGCTACATCCTCTTCCTCCTGTTGTTTCCTGGGTGCAGAGCCTCAGCCCACTCCTGCCCCTCCTGCAGCCCATGGTCCCCCTGCCTGTCCGAGCTGTGTCCTCTAGTGATCTCTCCTCTTCCCCCGTGGTCTCTATCTCCTGTTGATGCACCTGACAGCCACAGTCTGCTTGGTCCAGCTTGTTCTCAGGTGAACAGATCGTCTCCAGAGGCCTCCTCACAGTCTCATGGGTCCTGGCCTCATGTGGTCTGGATGCCATCACTCAGGTGCCTGTCCATGACTCTGTCCCCTGCAGGGAAGCCCAGTGTCCAGAGCAGGCACAGTGATGTAGACGCCTGGTACGGCAGCTCTGCTACTCAGTTGCCTGCTGACCACCAAGTTTCTCTTCCCCTCAGCCTGGCTTTCCCACTTTAGCAAGGCAGGGAGGGAATCCTTCGGTGCCTTCCGCCTCTGGTACTCAGTAGTTTTATAGATCAGGACTTGCTTATGGAGGCGACGTTTACCTGCAGCAGGGTGCGGGGAAATGTATCTCACCAAACACCCGTCACACCTGTCTTTCTGTCACATCTTTGTAACGGAGAGCACTTCCTGCAGCACGGAAGCAGCAGCAGGTGATACAAAGTGGCAAGGCCCTCCGTGTGCTGGCCCCACCGGTGTCCACTTACAGGAGCAGACATTACTCAGTTTCCACTGTTTGTCACCATGTGGGAAAAAGGAACTCAGGTGGTCTAATCTGCTGATTTTTCAAGAAAAGTGAAGATCCGTATTTCTGTATGAAATCTCCCTGATTTTAAATGTTGACAATTTAAATTGCAATGCCGACTTGTGTCGCAAAAAGCATTTGCACTAAAAGCCCTGCGTGCTCAGTCGGATGCGTAAGTCTCAGCGTGTCACCGCCCCTGAGGCCCACGCCTGGCTGAGAGGGAGGAGGGCTCTGTGAGCGCCACTGAGGATTGCCTACTTGGCTCAGGGGACACTGTGGAGCCTTACAGAGCAACCAAATAGCCGGTTTCCATGGAGAGAGCACTGGCTACCCTGAGGCAGGATGTAGAAACGAGGTCACCCCAATTTTCCTTTAAGCCCACCCCAGCATCTTCCATTCTTCTGTGGCCTGGGCTGCCCTTGGATTGCTCCCCTTGGTGGTCACTCATCAAGCGTCCATCGATCCGTGGCCTACGAGGGCCCCACGTGCGCTGTGGTTGCCGCACCGCTCATGGGGATGGAGATGCCGGCATTAACTCCCCCTTCCTCTCGGCCGCCGGCTCTTCCCGCGCACGTCCTCGCGGTTCACTCTGTTGCTTCCCTCAGGCCTCCGTCCCAGTGCCCCGCCCACAGAAGCCTTCTCGGAGTGCAGCACCTGGAAAAGCAGCCTTCTGTCACTCTCTGTTGCTGCATCCCATTTTATCACAGCACATGGAACGTCCTAGCATCGTGTATTTGTTTCTTACCTGCCTGCCCTGCTGGAGAGTCGGCTGCCCGGGGAGGGGCTTGTCTCTGTGCGGCCCTTCCGTGGCCCCAGAGCCCAGGGAGAGCCGGGCACATGGTTGGCACTCAGTGTATATTTGCCAAACGACGCCACACAGGGGATGCAATCATTATGTACTGCAAGCATGTGAAAAAAAGTTTGTTTTAAAAATCTGCCTGTAGTGTGAAAATATGAAGAAATAGTGCAGAAAGGAATCTTTTATTATTTAAGGTTTTTGTTTTTTGTTTTTAAGCTCTTCAATTAAATTTGCATACCGTGGGTGTATACAGTTCCTCGTGTCTTTCAGTGAAATCATTTGTGTGCGGAGTAATCAGACTATTTTTTTTTCCATATAAGAAATCAACCATTAAGTGAACCTGGAAATACGTTAATTCCTTACTTATTCAACTGTGTGAGAGATTTAGTATTGATGTTGCTGGGGACTGAACAGGAGCCAAACTAATTCCACAGAAATGCTCTATCTGCATGTTAGCTACTTAAAATGCACAGTGATACAATCCCATCTATGCTATTCTGCATTATCTGATGTGATTTAGTTTTGCAGTTTTTTAAGCTTTTTAAATGTGTTGGTATGCTCCCCTTCTCTCTGACCTGCAGATGCGTATTTCTTTCAGTCATACTTAGGACACACTGCATTACCTATTGTGCAAAGTAAATATTTGCTTCTATGTCACTTCTGGGGTTTTCTCTGCCTTTGTTGTTGTTGTTGTTGTTGTTTGTTTGTTTTGGTTGTTTGTTTCTTTTCCTCCTAGGGGGAGGTGCTGCTCTTGATTAATAACAAATAAAAGGCTAAAAAACACAAAACTAAAAAACAAATGAAGGAGCAGGGCTTGCTGTGGGCCAGGCCCCGGGCTGAGCCTTTGGGTACATGGAACCATGTCCAAGTCTCCAAGGGCGGGCTGCTACCCAGTGTTGCAAATGAGGAAACAGAGGCTCAGGGAGTCCCCGGCCCGCGTCACACAGTTGGAGAACAGCCAAGCTAGGATTCAAGCGGAATTCAAAGCCTGTGCCTTTAGCCACTGCTGTAGATGCCAGCTGCTGTAGAGTTGGGACAGAAGCAGGAAGTTCACCGGGCTGGGGATGCACTTCCGGAAACAGTGGCTGGAGTATGCTGGGTGGGAATGACAGGGACAGTGACGGCTGATGCTCAGTGAGTGCTTGGTATGCAGCAGGCAGTGTGAGGAGCACTGGCCAGTGAGTCTGCATTGCCCGACACCTGCGGTCAGGGCTCCTCCCTTCCCCTGTCCCATTGTTACCTGGTACATGGGACAAGTCACTACTTGCTCAGACTTTACTTTTTAACAAAATATATATTTTTAAAATCACCTACAGGCCGAGAGCTGGGCCACTTGCCCTCTACAGTCGCCCTTTCCACTTCTGAGCTGCACTGAAGGTTGCATTTGGCCCCCGAGTCCCCAGATGGTGCACACCTGCCCCACATATATACACACACCCATGGGCTGCATACAGCGGGCCCTCTGCTAACTTGCCAGGGAAGGTTTTACTATCTTTATGTCCTGATTATAGCATCTTGTTTCAGGTAAACCACTGAGGTAAATTTGGGTAAAGCTGAAAAGGAGAAACGAAATGTCAGGGGTTACTTGACCAGGAAGTGTCCTGGGAAGTAGAGAGCCAGCAGGAAGGGGCGAGACTGTCCCGCCTCCCCGGACAAAGCCTGCAGAGAAAAGGTCCTGTTTTGGGTCTGCTCTGCACCATGCACTGGGCTAAGCCCATCATAGATGTTACTTGACACATAACCGTGGAGTGACTCTTGCCACCCACTGTTCCAGATGCTGGGGGCGCAGCAGCCGTCAGCTAAGCAGAAACATCCCTTCCAGAGACAGATCCATCATCGCCTCGGGCGTGTTCACAGGGATCCTCCAGGCCCTGTCCCTGTGCCCTGTGGGCTAAGGAAAGCCCCTGAGGGCCTGTTTCCAGGCCATGCTCCAACCAGGGAAGGGATGTAACCCTGCTTTCATAAATAGAGGTTTCCTAGAGCGTTCCTGAGCCCGTGGCCTTTGTATCATTCCCAGCTCGCTCCACTGTGCAATGACAGGGAAGCTGCCCACCAGATGGTAGGTGTGGGCTTCAAAGGCTGAACTGTCTGCTCAGCAGCCCTGGACACAGGAAGTTTGCTGTTGTCCACACCCCTCCCCACTTCTAACCACTGCAACATAACTGTCGTATCTGAGGAAGTTCCACGCCATTATATTGAACATTTATGGCTGAAGGAACTTAGTTTCTATTTTTTGGAATTGCCTTCCTTTTTCCCCTTCTCTGAAAAACTTCCAATATAAAGTCCTTTTCTCTTGTGAGTGAGGATTAAAAATAGCAGCCAGAAAAGCTATTGGGAGATTGAAACAATGCCTTGCAAGAGAGCCTGGTTCCAGAGCATTCTGAATCTGTGGGAGCCATGAAAATTGTAATTTGAATGATGCTTCCGGGGTTTCTCTCTAATGTTCCAAAAGCTGGCTGTAGAGCCAGACCTTGGCTTACTTGGGACCCCTGTGCATCCTCACAAAACTTAGACCACAGGGCTCATGGCCCCTTCCTCTGGCCACGTGCCTAAGCAGGTGCTGACTGGGTCTCCTCTCTCTCTCTCCCTCCCTCTCTCTGCCCAGCTCCCAATGTGGAGACCAAGCCCCTGCTGACCTGGCAGAAGGCTCAGGAGTCGGTGCCCTGGAACATCATCCTTCTCTTGGGAGGGGGCTTTGCCATGGCCAAAGGCTGTGAGGTAAGTGTGAGGAACCCTGGGGACTACAGCTCCAGGACAGGAACAGGGATGGCACAGGCCCTATGGGCAAAGCCAGTCTCCTCTCTGCCACAGTGGGACGATCACAGCTGCCACCTGTAGGCCCACGCTCAGCGCCAGTGCTGTGGAGAAAGGGGAATGAGGTACCACCTGGGCCCTCAGGGTGACCCATGGGCCCCAGGAGAGAGGAGCAATGGCACACTGCGCTTGCCTTTTCCAGGCCCGCCCAATATGCTTCCAAAAGGCGTCTCCCGCAGACCTCCCCACACACCTGAGAGGGAGATGTTCCAAACCCAGCCTGGCCCTGAGGCCAGGGGCTGGAAGAGCTGACCCTGCTACTCAGAGGCCTCTCTGAGCTCAGCGAGGGGTACATGTAAGAGGCATGGGCTGGCCTGGGGGCTGGGTAGCAGGGCCACAACATGTACCCAGAGCCTAGTGTGGCTCTGTGACCAGCCCTGGCAGCCAATGGGATTTCTGCTCAACTGGCCTTTGTGTGGCAGCTGCCCCTTTCCCCAGCCTCTGCCAGTACCATCCCATCTGAGGGTGGCCAGAGCCTAGCCTTGCAGTGCCCAGAATGTTTATGGGATACCCGGGTCCCGGGAGCCTGTCCAGGGCCTTTGTTGGGCCACAGCAGGCCTCCAGAGGCTTGGAGGTCCGGGCCAGAGTCGGGGTCTGGCTGCGCGGGCTTCCCAGTGCTAGAAGCATTCCCTGGAGCTTACCTGGAATTCTAGCAGCCAAAGCCTTCCTGGGTCTGCTCAGAGGGCCTCACACAACTTGGCCCCTGCCTACCGCCCTTACATTGGTACCTGTCTCTTCCACTTCTTTACTCCCCTCTACTCCACTGGCCCTTACCATTCCTCACTCAGCCATAGTGTTTGCACCCCAGGACCTTTGCCTTTTTATGTCAAATATTCTCCCTGAGATCTCCAAGTCCTCACTCTTCAGTCCTCAGCACCTCAGAGATGGGCTCCCTGACCACCGTCTGGAGTAGTGCCCACCTCCAGCCCCTCTCCCTCTCACCACGCTGCTATTTCCTTTACACCATATCCATCTGTGTGTTTATGGGTGGTCTCTCCTTGGAGAAGGCAAGCTTCATAAGGACAGGGACTGCATCCGTCCTGTCCACCCACCATGGGCCCAGGCATCAGGAGAGCCGTGGTGTCCGGGTACTACATGGTGCTCAAGAAGTATTTGTGGATATAACCTGTACCATGGGGTAGTTTGAAACCAACAAGACAATGGAGGGAGAGCACCTGGAAGAGAGCCAGGAGCGCCCTGCCCTGTCGCTGTCCCTGCTGTGAATATGCTGCCATCCGGGGATGAAAGTTTGGTCTCATTCTGTTGCCTTCATATATTAAAAAATTACTACAATGAACAACTTCAAATATTTTGAAATTATAGGAGCTTGATATTAAAAGCCACCGTGGTAAACCCTACAGGCACATAAAAATGCCTCTTGCTTTCTGCTGGAAATCACAGTCACCTTTATTACTATTGTCATTATTCTTATAAAATCCAGATTCTGAGCTCAAAGTCATTAGGACAAATCATTTCTCTCATTTTGGCAAATCACTTAGCTTTTTTGCACCTCAGTTTCTTCAACCGTAAAACAGGGATAATTGTATTATCTACTTCACAGGGTTGTTGTGAAAATCAAATAAGCTAATTTTAACAAAGTCCAGTGAGACCTTGGTTTGCAAGCATAATTCGTTCTGGAAACACGCTTGTCATACAAAGCACTTGTATAGCAAAGTGAATTTCCCCATGAGAAAAAATGGAAACTCAGATGATTTGTTTCCACAGTCCAAAAACAGTCATACAGAAATGATTGCAATACTGTAGCATACTACAGAGTAACAAAAAAATACAAAATGTAAAGAAAAATAAACAAATTAACCTGCACTTACCTTCAAAAACCTGCCTGGCTGGTGTGAGGAAAATGAGAAAGGAGGACTTTCACTCACTAAGGGAATCGCTACTGCCTGTTGGCTCAGTGGAATTGTTTTCCTTCCTTTTTCCTGTAGTTTTAACAAGGAACCCTGCCAGTGACACTTGCTCTTGCCTCCTTTAGAATATTTCGTGGAAATGTGGCACTGTGTTGTGAAACAGATTCATCCCTCACACGGCTACAGCCTTATTTGGGTGGAGCCTTTCTGCAGAATTTTGCACTCTGCCCACCTTTTACACATCTCCCTAGTCTCATTTGAAGGGAGGGATTCCTCTGCCTTTTTCTCCTCCTCCTCTGCAGACAAGATCCCCTCCATAACTTCTTGCTGTGATGATTGCCCACCATCCTGGGGAGAGAGAAGAACCATTGGGTAGAAGCCTTTGCTAGTCTTACAGAGCTCTCACAGAACAAGTTACTTGTAATCCAAGGTTTCACTGTACTTAGAAGAGTGCCCAGCACTAAGTAAGCACTAATTTAAGTGTTTGTTACATTACATAAACGACAAGTTTTATATTATGCTTACTGTGTACTGGGACCATTTTTACATGTACTTATTTAAACCTTATCACAATCACTTAAAGAACTCCAGGAACAGAGAGGTTAAATAACTTGCCTGAGACCATGCATCTTGCCAGCCGCTGCCAGGGTTTAAATGTTCACACCTGTGCATGAAACTTTTGCTTTTCTCCCTTCCTTTAATCCAGTCTGCTGGTCTTTCTGCCTAAGAATTATTACATAGAGTTGCATACAGCCAGTAAGGCCACTGTTTCATGAGCCTTTTAGGAGATCATCAAGGACCCCCAGGGGATTCTGATTTTGATCATTGAACCGTAAGGGATAACTTCTATAACTTCTCTGTAAGGGGGATCCCTTACAGAGACAAGAGATCAGGAAAGGAGGGAAAAGGAGGCATCATGGAGGCAGCCTGGGCTCTCTCCCTCCATCCTACATGGTGGTCTCAGGTCCTCTGGGTCACCTTTGGGGTCCGTGGGGAACACAGTCTGACAGCCACCACCTTGGGTGACTTCTGAGTTCCACCTCTTCTGTCATGACTTGATGCCCCCAAGAAGCACAGCTCGTGCGTGTGGGGGCATCGACCAGGTGCCTGGCCCCTTTTCTAAATGCTTTACTGATCACTTCCTTTTCTCCAGACAGTGTCCCTCTGGCACACGCATTATTATCCTGGCTTTACAAACAAAAGAATGACAGCCCAGAGAGGTCAAGTTTCTTGCCCAGGAAGGCAGCTGGAAGGGAGTAAGCTGGGGTGCACATGAAGCTGGACTCCAGAGCCTTCCCTTCTCACCCTCTGGCTCTACTGCCGGTCCCTGGTATCCCTGGGAACCTGTGGGGGGACTGTGTTTCCAAGGAAACTGAGCTTCTGATTCCTAAGGGATCTGGGAAGTCCCCTTAGGGTCCCAGCAGAACCACAGGCACCTGGGGGCTTTCCTCCCTCACGAAGCTGTCAGACTTCCTCCCTGCGAGGAAGCCGAGCCAGGACCCCAGTGGATGTGGGACATCGGCCAGAAGCCCGGCACTAAGAGGCCCAGCTCCAGGGCAGCGCTTGGCATCCCACTCACCCAAGTCATTAGCATTCCCTTCGGCAGCCCCTGTCCGTTTAACTGCACAGCCTGCCGCTGGCCTCTGTGCCACAGCCGTGGCCCACGGAAAGAGCCAGTGTCTCCATTTCTTCTTTGTAGTATCCCCAGCCGGGGGAGGCCTGTGCCGGGCTGCCCAACAGGGCAGGCAAACGACAAACGCCATCAACCCACCAGGACTTTTCTAGGGCAAATAGTTCTAAGCATTTATAATTTGTGCCTTGAAGGCCATTTTTAAGTCAAATTGTAAGGGAGAATGCATTATCTTATTTATGCAAAAATCATATAGCTTATTCTAGAATTCACTATGAAATTTTAAGTTCTGAAAAATGTTCTATTACCCATAAAAGAAACATGGATGCCGTTTCTTTGGTGACTCAGGTTATGTTGATGCCAGCGGGTACTGGGTTGGTTAAAGGACTGTAGGCCTGTGGTAGAAACACATTTGATTATCGGTGTTAAGAGACTAATCTGACTCTGCCCTTGCTCAGTTCCTAAGCCTACAGCTCATTGTCCTTTCTTCTTGTTGTTTTCCAGTACTGAGGACTGAACTCAGGGCCTTAACAGTAAGCTGCATTCCCAACCTTTTTAAATTTTTATTTTCTCTCTAAGTTATGCTACGTTGCCCAGGCTGGGCTCGAACTTGTGACACACCTGTCTCAGCCTTCCAGAGTGTTGGGTTTACAGGCGTGCATCACTGCCCCTAGAAGCTCTGTCGTTTTTTGTGAGACGAACTTTAGAACCTGCCCTTGCAGCTTTATTGCGGTCTTGCCGCATGGCCCCACCAGGCGGCAGCATCGAGAATGATTTGATGGCTTTTTGGTCTGGAAGATGTGCTGGATCTGGATTATTCAGGGATACATTTGATGGCAGGGGGGCTGCGGTGGGGTATTGCACAGTACGTACTGGTAACTAGGGTGATTCCTGGAGACGGCAGCAGAGAGAGGACCCCAGTTATCCTGCAGATTTGCTGCGAGTGGAGTCGAGCGAGCCCACCCTGTGCCTCCCTGCCTGGTTTTTCATCCTGTCCCTGACCTAGAGGGCTTCAATGTCGCCTCTGGACATTGCTCTTCATTAGGAGGCAAAGTGGCTTGGCAACGGAGAGGGGCAGACCTGTGATCCCAGCTACTTGGGAGGCTGGGGATGGAGACAGCCGGCAAGTTTGAGCCCAGGCTGGGCAAATCAGTGAGACCTTGTCTCAAAACAAAAATTTTAAAAGTAGTTGGGGTTGTAGCTCAGGAGTAGAACATTTGCTTAGCATGCATGAGGGCCTGGGCTCCAGCAGCAAGTACTAGAAAAAAATAAGGGAGAGAGAGAGGCAATGTGACAGCCCAGTGAGTCAGGAGGGAGATGCCCAGCACTTGGGCACTGTGCAGAGTCAGAGGAGCAGCTCAGTTACCACTCTGGGGACCAGGGCAAGTTGCACAACCTTCTGCTCCTCACCAAAACAAGGACAGGATGGTTAGGAGGACCCAGCAGGGAGTGCAGTAGAGCCTGGCAAGTCTGCAACAAGGAGTGGTAACACAATGTTGATGTTAAGGGCCGGGGATTTAGCTCAGTGGTGCCACCGCCTGCCTCAAAAGCTCAAGGACCTGAGTTCGATCCCCAGTACCCCCCCCAAAAAAAGCAAATAAAAATGTTTATGTTAATGTTTGCATGATTAGCATTGTGATCACATTAATTTGGTAACACACTGACTGTGTTGCACTTGATATATATATGATACATGCTGTATTTTATATATGATACATAGGGATTTTGCATAAACAATGTTTTGTGCATATTAATGTTATAAAATAGTGACCATTTTTGCACTACTATCTGGTGAAATAATAAACACCATTGGAGGAATAAGATTTACTATGAAGCATCTCTGTCCCCTTTCCCACCAGAGCGGGAGCTTCAGGGTGCCAGGACCAAAGGGAAACGGAGCTTCTGATTCTAACGAGTGGATTATCAGGGCCCAGGTTTCCAGCCCCTGCCTGTAGAGCAGGGGGGGGAATTCGAGGAGGGGGAGGCTGCTGGCTCACAGGGGTGGCCTTGGGTGCCGCTTCGGGTCCCCACCTGGGAAGGGTAGTACTGTCCTTGTTGGTAGGCACCGTCCTCTCCCTGGCTCGGCGCTGTGTGACGGCTGCCCCTGCCCCGCAGGAATCAGGGCTCTCGGTGTGGATCGGGGGGCAGCTGCACCCGCTGGAGAACGTGCCCCCCGTGCTGGCGGTGCTGCTCATCACCGTCGTCATCGCCTTCTTCACGGAGTTTGCCAGCAACACGGCCACCATCATCATCTTCCTGCCTGTCCTCGCAGAGCTGGTGAGGGTCCTGCTGGGGGTGGGGACCCCTCCGTGTGGGCGCATCCTCAGGGGCTGTAGTTGCCACCTTTCATTGCTGCCTTCTCAAGTGCATGAAAGTGTCAGAACCGCAGTGCCATTTCTTAAGCAACAGGGACATTTTTCACCTAGAAATGCATAAACAGAGTATTTTCAAAGCGCAACACATTCCCTCGTTCACCCATGGTGACCCGGAGAGTTTCCGGAAGACAGAAGTTACCAAATTTGGATTAAACAGAAAGCATGGGTAGACAAATAACCCCCCGAGTGGAGGGGTTGCTCAGCATTGTTGACGATATGGCTCAGAGAGTGCTCTAGATCGTGACCACCCGAAACGTCTGCAGACGCTGCCAGGTGTTCCTTGGGGGGACAAGTCACAGCCAGTTGAGAACCCCTGCTCTAAACACCACCGGCCCAGGATGTCTCATCAGGGAGAACCCTCTTTACTGGCTCAGAAAGCCATACAACCCTTGTGTGGGATCTGCAAATCTGACACCACATCCAGAGCAAAGGAGGAGAAGCGATATAGTCTTCCACGAAGCGGAAGACACAGACACTGCAGCAAAACGAGAGGCCCATACATCACAATTGGGTAGGTTTTGTACTGGGAATTTTCCAAAGGATTAACATTAGGAAAACTATCCATGCAGGTTTCTATTCAAACAAATTAAAGAAGACTAACCATATACTTTATTTTTATTTCTTAGTTAATTTATTTTTTTCTGGTACCGGATATCAAACTCAGGACCTTGTGCTTGCCAGGCAGGTGTGGTGCCCCTGAGCTACACCCCTGGCCCCCATATGATTCTTAATATAACCCCAACCTCATCAAATTAAACCACTGTTGCGAGTCCATATGCTTGGCAAGCAGTTAGCAACGCAGCAGCTCACTAATCTGCATCCCCTTTTTGTGGGCTTTGGTTTGCTTATTGTGTGCATTGGTTTGCAATGCAGAGACATGCTGTATACTTTTTCAATGACTGGCAAACATTCCATTATAATTGGACAGCTGCAGATTTATTTAAGCAATCTCCTAGTAGTAGACATACAGGTATTTCCAGACTGCTATCTAACAATCCTGTCTTGACCCTACCTGGGCTATGCCTCCTTGACTAAATCTAGAGAAATTCCTACAACAGTGTCCTAGATTAAAGAGTACGTGCCTTTAAATGCTGTAAGGTGTGAGCAAATTACGCCCCCACATGGCTCCCCAATTTACTCTCCCACAGCTGTAGGGAAGGGCAACATTGTCTACAAAAGACACTCGTGAAAGACACAGTCTTCTCATTTTGCTTCCCATCCAAATCCAGACACGTACACACAAGGGGTGATACGGGAGCCTTATGCTTTGGGTTGTACAAACTCCCTGGAGGGGCCCAAAATGTTCTGTCTTAAGTAAAACACTAGAGATGATCGGCATGAACTGCAGGTGAACGTAGCGCTTGGGAGAGTGGAGAATTGGTGGCCACTGCCTGAGACCAGCCCGGAGGCACACTGGCTGCCTGGGTTTGGAAGTGGGGAAATGCTTTGCGGGGATGCTGGCCTGAGTGCTCCTGTCTGAAATCCAGCCAGCACCCACAGGAGGCGCCCAGAGGCAGCCGCTGGGATGGTCTGGCTGAGGAAGGACCAGGTGGGGGAGCTTCATGCTGAGTCATGGCTCTCAGTGTGTGGCCCTGGGTGTCCCCACATGCAGCGTCCCCCGGGGAACTTGTGGGAAATGCAAAGTCGTAGGTCCCTCTGAGACCTACGGGATGGATCGGATCGGCTAGTCCTGGGGAGTTGGGGCCACCCATCAGGGCTTTCAGGGATGCGCTGGGCGATTCTGAAACATGCGCACTTGGGAAGGAAGGCTCTGAGTAATTCGCCCCAGCCTGTCCCTAACGAAGCCTGTGTGGTTCCGCAGCGTCACTGACCTTTGGAATGTCTCTCCGTCTCTCTGCCCGGGTCTCTGCTGGTGGCTTCTGTCTGGATCTCTGGCTGTGCATCTGTTTCTTTCCCTCTCTCCTCTCGTATGTCTATTGCTTTCTGCCACTCTGCCAATCTCTGTCCTTATGTCCCTGTTGTTCCAATTGTCTCTGACTCTCTCTCTCTGTGATCCCTCTATCTGTGTCTTGTCCCCACTGCCTGGCCAGGCCATCCGCCTGAGGGTGCACCCGCTGTACCTGATGATCCCGGGCACAGTCGGCTGCTCCTACGCCTTCATGCTGCCGGTCTCCACGCCCCCCAACTCCATCGCCTTCGCTTCTGGGGACTTGCTGGTCAGAGACATGGTGAGTCTGGGCATTTCTACCAGCGGCCTGGGAAGGCGGAGGCTCCAACAGGACCCTAACCTCCCCAACCCACCGCAGCCCCTGAGCAGGTCATTCTGAGTGGGCTGGAAACTTAAATGATAGCAAACACTGGGATGATTCCCACACTTAGACTGTTCCTGGAAATACTGCCTCGTAACGACTTTCCATGGTTGCCTTGAGGGACAAGGGATTCCCCTCTCTCTCTCTCTCTCTCTCTCTCTCTCTCTCTCTCTCTCTCTCTCTCTCTCTCTCTCGGCGCTGCTCTGTTTTCCTGCCTGTTTGCCAAGGCTCCATGCCCAGAATCTTTAGGAGGCAGAAGAAGCAGATGCACCCGGGGATTTAGAGATTTAGGAGCAGATCTCACTGCCCAGCCAGTCAGGGAGTGAGGCGGATGGAAGCTGAGGGCTGTGGCAGTGGGAGACCCCGCCGGCTTTCAGGAGACCCAGCTCCCTGCCGAGACGACTCCTCCTTCCCTCCTCCTGCCCCTGCAGCCGCTTCCCTCTCCAGTGTCCTCAGCTGACAACAGCCCAGAAGTGCCATCTTCCTAACCAGGCACAAGACCCCAGCAAGGTGAATGGCGAAAGAGTGAGCAAGAGTGAGGAGAGGCGGAAGATACACGGGAGACAGCGATGGCCCCTGACCATTCCTTGCAGTTTTTGCAGCAAGCAGCGCACGCTCTGGCCACCAGGGGGAGCAGAGCTGGCTTGTTACAGATGAGACAGAAAGTAGACAAGCTGAGAGGGTTTTTATAATGGTTTAGATTTCAGTACTGCTCAGTACTAGGGAGAAAATAAAACATGGAGCATGGGGAGAGGAAGAGGATGATGAGGGTCAGCTCAGGTGGGGTGGGCAGGGACAGTCTTTCCCAGAAGGGGACACATGAGCCAAGAAGTGAGGCAGGAAGCAGCCAGCTTTGGAAGCAGAGGACTGGGGTGGGGAGCAGCTGTGTGTGCTGGGACTGTGGTCGAGTGGGAGAGGGATGGGGCTGCAGCCCTGGGGGTGTGGAGGAGGACAGAGTGCAGGGCACGGACCTGGGAACTGTTCAAGCCCCAGTGGGAGGCCCTGCTGGGGCCGTCAGCAGGGTGTGCTTTAACTTCCGCCTGTCGGGGATGCTTTGGCTGCCCAGTGGGGGGTTGTTAGGGCAGGGGGGACAGATTTACGAGTTGGAGAGCAAAGAGACAGCGAGAGATGAGAGAGTACGCTGCAGGAGGTGGAGAAGGCGCTGAGGGGCCTCCACGGGCGGCCAATCGTGGCCACCTGCGGGGCTTGCCCCCGAGAGTAACCTGTGGGCCCAGCAGGAATTAGAGCCAGGCTCCCAGACCTCAGCCTGGGCTCTTATCTCCCCCAACGTGCCAAGGGCTTTCAGGCCCTCTGGAACAGGGTGGCACAGCGCAGCACATGTGACCTCATGTTGGGGCCTCCTGCCTTCGGGACGTGTGCCCTTCCTGTGAACCGTCGTGTTTACTCAACAAGTTTACTAAGTCAACTTCACCTGTTTTATAAAACTTAAATAAGAAATTTAAAAACAAAAGTTCCTGGTGCACGCGTACATGGAAAACCCATAGGACATGCAAAGAAAATTTTTAAAAGGTTAGGTTTTCCCTGATAGCAGTTGCCTGAAAGGTACCAAGCTTTTCTCTCCTTGTGAAGGTAGGACCATGGGAAGGCAGTGAGAAGACTAAGGCGTGAGGGCACCAGGGGAGTTTTTTTATCTTTATAAAGTTTATTGGTACATTTCAGGTATCCGTACAGTTCCATTCATCACTGGGATCTTGCACCTTTACATAACTTATCTTGGTTCTTATTTTTCCCCACTCCCCAGCCCTCCCTTCAGCCCCTCCACCCTTCCCTGTTCACGAAGACACTGTTTCCATGTTTTTCCTTTTCACATATTTTTTCTTTCCCCTTTTAACTTTCCCTACCCCTCCCATTTCCTCTACTGTTGTAGACCTTTTCTTCCTATTACACAATATCAGTTCTACATTTTGATTCTTATTAACACTTTTAGTTTTTCACACCAGAGAAACTATTCAGTATTTACGCACGTGTGACTTATTAATTTCACTTAAGAGTATGGCCTCAATGTGTGTCCACTTAGCTATGAATGTCTCTAGTTTCTCATTTGTTATGGCTGAGTAGTACTCCATTCTATGGAAAAACCACATCTTCTTTATCCAGTCTCCAGTGGATGGGCAATTGGGCTGTTTCCAAATTTTAGCTATTACAAACTGTGCCACTATAAACATGGGTGAGCATACTGTGGTATGATTCTTTTAATTCTTTTGGGAAGATAGATACCCAGCAGAGGGATAGCTGGGTCAAATGGAGCCTCTAATCCTAGTTCTTTGAGGTATCTCCATATTGATTTCCACAGTGGTTGCACCAGTCTGCACTCCTACCAACAATGAAGGAAGGTTCCTTTCTCCCACACCCCTGCCAGCATTTTTAATTGGTTGATTTCTTGATGGCAGCCATTCTTTCTGGGGTGAGGTGGAATCTCAGTGTTGTTTTCATCTTCATCTCTTGAATAACCAGTGATGTGGAACATTTTTTTCATATATTTACTTGCTGCTTTTACTTCTTTGTCTGAGAAATGACTGTTCGTTCAGATGCCCATTTTTGAATCGGGTCTTTATGTTTGGGGGCCTGATTTTTTTTTTGAATTCTTTATATATTCTAGATAGTAGACTAGAGGGGAGACTTTTTCAGGGCAGGCTCGAGAGAGCTCTAGATGGGGAGTCTTCCTCACCCCGGAGCCAAGCCTGGAGATTTTGCTAAGTGAAAGCCACCAGAAAGCCCAAAGAGGAAAACAGGAATTTTAGCCCAAGGAGGCCTGAACAGTGCAGGAGACCAACCGGGGGAGGGAGCAAAGGGGCGAGTGCTTTCCAGCTACTCGCAGAGGTAACATTTCCAGAAGAAAATTCTTCCTGATAGACAAGTATAGCCTTGACTGGACCTGCAGAGGGTGTGTGTGTGTGCGTGTACCTGTGTGTGCTGTATATGTGTATGTGTGTACATACATTGCACATGCCCACATGCGTATATGTAGTGGAGGGTGCTAAGTGATTAATTTCAGGTGTTGACCTTGGGCAAAACAGTTTCTCTGGGCCTCATTTTCCTCTTCCCTAAAAGGGAGATGGACAACGGCCTTCAGGCGATTGCTTTTGTAGTTAAATGATGTGGCGCTGTGAGAACTGCGTGGGGTGGGGCTGGTGTCACCCAGAAGCCCTACAGGGAGCAGGGACACCTGCAGCTCCCCGAGGGGCGGCCTCGGCAGTGTGAAGATGGAAAGGCCTTGCCCACTGGCCCACCTGGGCTTGCGGCCTGGTCCATCCCTCCCCGGCTGTTGGCTTTCCAGAGAGTGATCTCCTGCCTCTGAGCCTCGGTTTCCCCATGGGTGCCGGGCCTGAGCCGAGCCCGCTCAGTCTGAGCTCTGTTGCAGGTACGAACCGGCCTCCTGATGAACGTGATGGGCGTCCTGCTGCTCAGCGTGGCCATGAACACCTGGGCGCAGAGTATCTTCCAGCTGGGCACCTTCCCAGACTGGGCCAGTCCCCACTGGGCCGACGTCCACGCAGCCAATGTCACAGCACCGCCACCCACCTTGCCGAACAACACGCTTCACAGCCTCTGACACGCGCATGCCCCGGGGGATTCCCTTTGGGTGGGGCAGGTATCCAGCAGCGCCACACTTGCTGCCAGGACCCTAAGGATGGTCAAACAATTCCTTTCTGTGATCCAATCCACCGCAGCAAGCGTGGAAATCTCCAGTGTCCACCCAGACCCGCGAGCTCTTGTTTAGGACACTTTGTCTTTCTCTCTCTTGCCGTTCAAGGCCTATTCTCTCCCAGATCTGCTGCCTCATCAAGCCCCTCTCTGTAACCTGTCCTGTACTTAGGGTACCAGAGAGACCAGTTTAGCCGCATAGCAAGGCTGGGATGGCGTTTGTCTTGTACACTTGGGATGGGAAGCTGTGTTCACCCCCATGGGCACAGCTAACTTTCTTCCCCACGGACTACTTCAAGTCTCTCTGGAGAGACCATCTTGGCTCTCAGGACCACTTTGCCTACAGAGACTTTGGGGCCAGAAAGTTCCAGGCCAGATGTTGAAGCTGTTCCCACCTTGGGTGGGCTCTGCTTGGCTGGTGCCTGCTCTGCACCAGCTGTTTTGCTGTTACCCCTGCGGTTACCCAACAGGCAGGGATTACTCCCAATCCCTGGGACAGAGAGAGGGACAGATGACTTCCTGAGGACATGGGGACTGCAAGGCTGGTCTCTGGGGCTCCCGAGCACACCAGGGGAGTTTGAGAACCCCTGTGACAGCTGAACCCTGAAACTTTAGAGCTCTCCTCTTTCATCTCATTCAGCTCGGCACAAGTCTGAGGTCGCCCAATTCTGGGCCCAGTCCTTTCACAGGTGACCCATGGCCCTGCAGCCAGGACGCGCCTGCATCGGACCTTGGGGGCCTCTGTGGATGAGTCAGCTCTTGTTTTTCTGGTCCCAGCAGTTGGTCCCCATCCTGCTCCAATAGTAAGCATGTTTAATTCCCAAAGGTCATATTTTTCAGAAAGAAAAGTCAAAGGATAAATTGGGCCTTATAGAAGTCCACAGTAAAATGTCTCTAGCAGACAGCATATTGCCGTCCCCTTCCAGGGATGGGGAAACTGAGACATTCCCACCACCCCGTGGCCAGAGTGAGGAAGGTCGCAGTGGACGCCATCGCTCCTAGTTTCCCCAGAGACAGCCCGAAGCCCCACGCCTGCACAGCATGGGGCAAGGCGCTCAGGGAGCTTCTTGGCCTGGGCAACCCAGCAACAGGAAAAACCAGCGAGGTCCCACTTCCCCATCCTACACCCTAGGGACCTAGGCTCCCTGAGGAGCACCCAGTTCTCACTCAGCACCACTGAGTCAGGGTGTCTCCCTGGGAGCCACAGAGGCCCCTGAACTAGAGGCCAAGCCCCATCTCCTTCAGGGGAGAGCAGCCAGTACGTAGTCTCAGCCCATCTGGGTCGGTAGGGTGCCCTCCTGTGGGAGGGAGAGGTTCATGTGAAAAGAAACTCCAGGACTTGTGAGCAGAGGGTTCATGATTCAAATACTCTGATCAAAAATGCTATGAAATAAAAATGTTAATCAACACTGGAACTGGAGACTCTGTCTTTCTAAGTGTAACAGACACCCGGGGCCCCCAAATGCCTGGGTTCCAAGCTCCACGTCCTCTGCTCTCCCCTCTCCTCTTTACTCCACATACTCATGCTCTTCTACCTCAGTGCCTTTGCACATGCAGTTCCTCCTCCTAGACTCTGCTTTCAAGCATATGCCAGACCCCCACTCTCACTTTGTTCAAGTTCCTGCTTAGATGTCTCCTGTCTAGGAACACTTTCCTAACCACCTTTAAAAAAGTATTGTCCTTGTTACTCTCTGCCTGTGTCTTAGCACTTAGAACCCTGCATCATGTATTTTCTTGTTTATTAGCTTTCTCTCCCTCTGGCACATAGATTTAGAAAAATACAGATTTTATTTTGTTCCCAGCTGTAACTCCAATACCTGGACTAGTCTCTGGCACACAGCAAGTGTTTAGGATGTATTTGATATACGAATCTACCCCGGATGTAGGAGAAAGCGGGCTTGCGTGCTGTTCTGGGGTTTGTCTGGCTCTGTTCTTTGTTACCTCTTTCTCCCATTTGTTCACTCACAAACCTTTACTCAGAAGCTGTGTTGTGCTGGTTCCGGTCCCCTCGCTGCCCTGGCAGAAGAGACAGGAAGTAGGAAGGGAAACAGATAAAGCGACTGTTCGTCCTGGTTCGGGCTCAGGAGACCATGACAGACCCGGAGGCGGGGCTCCGGGAGGACTGGAGGCAGAAAGGGCTGAGCTCCAGAGGAGCCAGTGGCTCTCAGGGCTGCATGGAAGGCGGAGCGGAGGGTGGGCCTCCATTCAGGGAAGTGGGCTCGGTCCGCTGGGCCTTTGCCGGGTTTGGGGTGCCCTGTTCTGTGCCCCCATAGGGAACCCTAGTTCCTCCCAGGAGTGCTCCTGCTGGCTGGGTCCGTGTCTGCATGGCAGGGCTTTGCCGTTCTTTGCCAGGGAGATCTATGGGCTGAGGGTGGACACCACTGCCATGCGCCGGTGGCGGCATGGGAGGAAGAGGGTGGCAGGGGTGGCGCCAGGTCATTGGAAATGTGCTGCAGGCTTGTCTGGAACCTACGGGGAAGCGCAGGGGTCAGAAAGGACACAAACACACAAAACGAAAATCTTGTTTTTGTTTTCTGTGGCTGCATAACCAACCACACCAAAATTTCAGGCTTGAAACAGATTCATGGCTCTCACTTCTACTCTAGACAGCCGAGTCCTGGCTGTAGGCAGCGTGGTCAGGGCCACTGGCTGAAAGTGGAGTGTCCACCACTCCTCAGGATCCCTCTTCAGGTGGCTTCACCGGTCCAGCCCTCGGTGTGTGACTGTGGACTTCAAGGAGGAGAGCAATCCGAGGCCCCGGGCCTGGATGCGGAGGTATCAGAGGTGCACCCTACCCCCAGTGGGCAAGCAGCGTCCAAGCCGGAGGCACCTTTGGAAGCTGTCTCCCTCTGCTCTGAAGGGTATGTGAGAGATCTCGGGTGCTACCCTGAAAAGAGTGTGTGGACGGCCGCAGCCTTATGAAGACATGCCTGGGCCTACATTTCTGTGACCAGAGATATGAAAATTAAATAACATTCAGCCACAGGTCAATGATATCTACGAAATTAGACAAGTGGGCCCCGGGTGGGGAAGCCAACCCTTGGGTTCTGTTGGTGACACTCACTGGTGGCAGTCTGGCCCTGGCTAAGGGAATGCGTTGCGTGTCTCTCCCAGTGGCCCAGTGATGCGATCCTGGGGTCTTTCCCAGCAAGTCACCCCTCGGGTCCCTACAGAGGCAATGCAGGAGGACATCCACGCCACTGCTGTTGGAGGTGCTAAAGAGCCGGAGGCCACTGCAGTGACCATAATGGGGGAAATTTTTAAGTGACATCTGGGGGCACATGCTATAGAAAACACAACACACAGACACAAAGAACTCAGGCACCCAGAGCAGTAGATGCGATATGTGGACATCTCAGTATTCAGGCCCAACACAGATGCAGAGTCACGTGGGCAGGAGGAGTGGACGCTGGGACAGGGCGTGAATGAAAATTATTAAAGAAGGGGGTCAGAACACCACTTCGGACCCTGGCTTCTCCCCTACTGTGCTGTGTAACCTTGAGCTCTGTGTGCCCTCTAATGCTTGGGTCTATAGTTTCCTCCTCTGATACAGAAGGGCACACAGTCAGGGTCCCAACAGGAAGTAGAAAGCATACACATTGCTAATTTGAGGGAAGTTTGCGGAAGGTCTAATTACAAGGTGTGAGCAGAGCATAGGACAAGCACAGGGAAAACGCAGAGCCCTGGTGTGGGGAGGGGTTGATGGATCAAGGAACACCTCCCAGCCCTGAGCCTTGGAGGAGACAGCCATTGACAGGAGGAGACCCAGGGACGCATGGAGCCCAGGAGGGTTCTGGAGGGAGGGACTTCCCACAGGGGGGGTTGGGCTTCTCCAGACCTCCTGGCCTGTGAGGGCATTTGAACCTGAGCGTCCTAAACTACATGATCAGGAAGGTCCATCTGGCATCGGTGGCCACCAGCCTTGAGTGCTGCTCAGCAAAACTTGCAGTGATGATCAAAGTGGTCCCCACCTGCCATGTCCAGCTCTGAGGCCATCTGCAACGCATGGCTACCAAATGCTGTACCTGGTCCAAATGGAGATGCGTCGTGAACGCGAAACACATGCCAGGTTTTAAAACCACAGTGTGAGGGGAAAAAATAGCCTCTTAGGGATCATTTATACTGTTTCCATGTTGAAAGGTTAATCTTTTGGATTAATAGGTTGAATGAAATATTTTGCTAAAAGTAATTTTAGTTTTATGTGTTTACTAGAACAGCAGCTCCCAGTGTTTTCCTCTGAACTGCTCAGCTTTTAGCCACCTCACTGCGATCTCCAACTGCCTGGACAGTGGCCACATTCTCTACCCGCAGGCCAGAAACTCAGTGACACTGCTCTTCTTCGGCCTCTGATTCCGAGCCTCCCAATCCCAGACTGCACACCCCCAGGCTGTACTGAGAGCTCACCACTTCCCCTTCTGTCTTAAGGCTCTGAATCCTTCGTCCAGTAAATTCCCCTCAACACAGCGGGCTCTGTGTTGACTCAGAAGCTCTCTCAGGATGTTGTGGGCCTCAAGGTCAGGCCAGCCTTATATGGGCAGAGGTAACTGCCTACATAGGGCAAGAAAAGCTAAAAATATCTTCCACTCTTTCCTTCCCTATTCCTCTGTGCTTCCAAATCTTACAAATCCACCAGAGGCTGCTTGGAAGAGACTTTCATGGTTCTTTACCAGTCAGCTCCCCAGTGCCCATCAGAAACTGGGCAAATGCTGGCCCACGGCGATGCCAGGCCGTAAGGTTCGTGGAGGGGATCACAGAGGCCCGGACAAGTGGGCCCCAGCAGCCCTGGACTCAGTCCAGCCCAGCGGGAAACTAGATGAGAGGAAGCAGGCCTAGAACTTTTCTCCACTGCTTACTGAATTCTCTGTCCACGCTACCTCACTGAATCCTCCAACAACTCTACCGAGTAGCTATTGTGTTCGTTCTACTCACCACGGCAGGGACGCTCGCGTTTGGGTAGAGGCAGGGTCTTGCCCAAGGTCGCACAGCACAGGGATTGACAAAGCTGGCATTTACTTTCCGCTCGGCCACCTCCGTCCCATGACCCTGTGATTCGGGGGAAGAGCTCCGTAGCTCCTTTAGCCAGACAGCTGTGTGACAGGAGACTGGACAGAGGCCTCCTGCAGAGGTCACAGATTGGTGGCCCCTTGTGCCGACTTTGACCACCTGACTTGTTAAGATGGGTCAACACAGTAGTGTCTCTATTTTTTTTAAGATTGGATTTAAAAACTTGGAGATTTTTATATACTAAAGGGAATGGCTGGCATCCTTGAAAAATCCTGAACATCTGGTGACGTTGGGCCTTGCTTTTCAAGGGGCTTTGACCCTCTGCTGTACTGAGAAGCGACTCCCTTTCTGAAGGTCACACTCCGCAGTCGCCTGCTTCCTTCAGCTGCTCTGCACAACCACCACGCCCTGCAGAACACAGGCGCATGGGGCTGCTGCTCCTGGACAACCTTATGTGCCTGGTTCCTTCCTCTGTGGCAGCCCCTGGCTTTGGGTGGGGGTGGATCAGAGCCTGGGAAGGGCACTGAGCTTTCCGAGGGTCTAACCACAGGTGTCCCATTCAGTTGCTGGGTGACTATGAGATGTCACTTCCCCTAACCACACCACAGGATGCCCCACCTCAGGTCTGAGGGAGTGGCCCAGACAGCCTATCCTTGTAAGGAAAAATGACCAACAGCCTGAATGCCACCTGCTTTGTCCCCTACCAGTCTATCTCTGGACTGGGGGTTGGGGGGGGCTCCTGGGGTGCAGATCCTGCTGGAAGTGAACCTGCAGGGCGGAGGGCTGCACAAGGCAGCGGACAGGGAATGGCATTTATTGAGCTCCTACCGCTGCCGGGCCAGGTGCATTACAAGGTAATCACGGGCCTGTGAGCTAAACGGCTGAGCACAGTGGTAGCCAGGGGTCTCTGATCTTAGCAGAGATCCCCTGGTCTCCTGTGGGTTCTCAGCCCCTAAGTGTCAAGGATCAGGCTCCCCTTGGGGCACGTAGCTACAGACAGGGAGGGGAGGGAGAGGGGAAGCAGAGCTGAGTCCTAGTCTGTCACTACTGGTAATGAGCTGTATGGTTTCTCAGAATCTCAGTTTCCTCCTCTGTAAAATGGGCTAATTCTACCTTCCTTCTAGTAGGACTGCAGATACGGCTTGGAAAACGTCTCTTTCTCTCCTCGCACAACTTCTCCTGCCCCTGCCTACCACGAGAATTGGAGGCAGCTTGCCCAACCCCCTGGGAGGTGGCCCCAGGCGGGGTGGGGCAAGGCAGCCAGGAGGACTTAATTAAAGGGTGGAAAAGCAGAAGCAGCACGGTTTCAGCACCCCACTTCCTCTCCACCTGCCCACGCTGCCGCAGACCACCTGCCTGAATCTGCTGCTATTCCAGGACCATGAGGGGACCCCATAGAGCTGCTGAGCACCTCATCAGGACCGGGTAGGTCTGGGGACTTGGACACAGGGCCACAGGCAAGAAAGTCAGCAGTCCATTGTGATGGGTATGAGCCAAATCCCAAGCTCTGCCCTTGAGTAAATCCTCACCTGTCTGAGCCTTAGTTTCCCCATCTGTGAAGTGGGAATAATAATTAATAATAACAGTAATAAAAATGGCAATAATGTCTATGAAACTATTGTGAGAAATGAATGAGAAAAATGCATGTACAGGGCTCAGTTCAGAGTAAGTTCTCAGTAAATGACAGGTTGTTTCCTTGTTGTTTAAAATGACGGAGAACCCAGCAAAGAACTCAGCATCAAAAATGACATAAGGGGGCTGGGGATTTAGCTCAGTGGTTCGGTGGCCTGCCTTGCAAGCACAAGGACCCGAGTTCAATCCCCGGTACCCTCCCCATGACATAGGATTGGCTTTCAATTCTTAAAATCATTTCTATCACTAGTTACCATGTTAACAGCTACCCTGTTCCAAATGCTAATTGTGTAGCAGGAAAAGGTGTTCAGTCCTGCGTCTAAACAGTTTCGAGGGCCAGGAAGGCCATGCTCTCCAGCTGCGTGCGCAGGCTTGCACAGTGGAAAGGGGGCCCGGCCTGTAGGGGCCCACCGCTGCGAGAGGGGCAGTGGATGCTCAGGTCCAGCTGCCCTGTTGCCAAAGCAAGAACTCTGACCCAGATCCCCTTGTTCCTCAAAGGGAGTGAAAATCCAGATTTTCGTATGAAACTTCCTATTTCTATATGGAGGCAACACACACACACACACACACACACACTCACATGCACTGTGAACCAAAATAAAGTGCATTTTCACGCCAGATTCAGCCCTTGGGCTCCAAGATTGTGACCTTTTCTCCAGTCCCCCAAGCCTTATGGATCTAAGCCCCCAAGTTCAACTACTTCAACCCCTCTTTCCTAATGGTGCCACTCAGAGCTCAGGACCTTTGTACATGCTGTTCCTTCAGTTAGGGACACCCTTTCCCACCTAAGAACTGATAGTTGTCCTTGTGGTCCCAGCTCAAATGTTACCTCCTTCAGAAACCTCCCAGACTCTGACCCTGACTCTTCCAGGTAACAATCAGTGACGCTCCACCTACCCCAGAGTCCTTGTTTTTGGTTTGGAGTGTGTGTGTGTGTGTGTGTGTGTGTGTGTGTGTGTGTGTGTGTGAGATACTGGGGACTGAGCGAAGGGTATTCTACCACTGAGCTACATCTTCAGCTCTTTTTATTTTGAGACAGGGTCTCACTAAGTTTCCAGGTTGGCCTTAAACTTGCGATTCTCTTACCTCAGCTTCCCAAGAAGCTGGGATTGCAAGTGTGCACCACTGAGCACAACTGAGAGTTCTTTTTTAAGTGGACTTCTACTCTGATGTCCCACTTCAGTCTTCCCGGTTGACTGTGAATTCCTCCGGCATATTGCCCAGGACTTAATTTGTCTCTTGTCCAACACATGGACAATGATTTGGTCCCTTCTCCTTCATCTTCAAGCATCCATCTCCCCCTCCAGCACTCTACGGGCATGGGGGGTCTGCTTTCTAGTAACCTGAGCAAACAGAAGCGTTCACACTGTACTTGATGAATATTGACAAAGAAACCTCTTACTGTGTGTCTGCCCTTACTCTGAAGTATAAGTCATTTTTGTTTCTCCAACAGCTACCACTTATTAGTTGCTTAATAAAATATTTGCCCAATATTTGTTGAATGAATAAATACAAGGAAAACAGGGCAGAAAAAAACCTCTTCAGAGACCAACTGGGCTGTCCCTAAATTATGGAGGAGACACAAAAGTCCTGGAAGAACTCTGTCTCTCTGACTCTCCCCACATTGCTCATATCCCCCGACCCTTGCTTCATGGCTTTCATCCATCCTCTTGGGCCAGCTTCTCTTCCAAAACTGAAATTAACATCTCAGGGAGCCCCCACATTGATCCCCACAGGACGTGCATGGAGCTCTTCCCTGAAACCCTAGTGAGAATAATCCTAGGGAAGGCTCTGATTGGCTCAGTGTATGTCACATGAGCAGGGCTGGGTGACTGATTGGTCCATCTAGAAAATGTAGCTGCCCCTGTGTCTAACAGGGTGGATGGAGCCTGCCTCAGGTTGGAGGGGCCGGGTGGGTGGGCACCCAACCCCTTGGGTGGGTGGGCCAACCCCTTCCTGCTCCAACCCCTTCCTGCTCCATGCTCCTGAAAGAGCATCTCCCATTTGCTTGTCTGTAGGTGGAGGTTCTGGTACTTGGGGATCCAAAAGGTATTTGTCCCACTACGCACTGCCTGGAACACCTTCTCCCAGCCTGTCCCAGCCAGCTGTGGCCAGTTGCTGGCCCACCTCCTCCTGTGCGGGTCCCTGGCTGTCAGTGCTGCAAGTCTGGTTCATCGCTGGCTGACATCTTCACAGCTTTATCCTCTGGGACTCTCGGCCATGCTGGCTACAGTCTGTGGCCTCCTGGTCTTCCTGGCCCTGGGCCTGCTGCCCCCAGTTCGCTGCCTGTTTGTGCTCAGTGTGCCCACCTTAGGCACAAAGCAGGGCCGCCAGCTGCTCCTGTCCTACAGTACTGCCACCCTGGCCATTGCTGTGCTGCCAAATGTCTTGGCCAACATGCATGCCATCGGGCAGGTGCTGAGATGTGTCACCGAGGGTTCCCTGGAGAGTCTGCTCAACACCACTCACAAGCTGCAAGCTGCCTCCAGGGCTCTGGGCTCTGCAGGCCGAGCAGGCAACCGGGGCCTGACATTGGAGGCCCAGGGCAATGGCTCTGCCTTCCGGCTTCACATGCTCAAGGTTGCTCAGCAGGTCCTGGAGGATTTCTCTGGCCTGGAGTCCCTGGCAGGGGCAGTAGCTCTGGGAACCCAGCAGGTAGTCACAGGACTGTTTATGCTTGGCCTCCTGGTGGAGTCGGCCTGGTACCTCCATCGCTACCTGACAGACCTGCAGTTTGACAATATCTACATGACTCGGAGGCTGGCTCAGCAGTTGGCTCAGGCCCAGGCCACATACCTGATGGACTCCCCACCAGCCTGGCTGCTCCGGGTGGCCCGGCCAAAGCTGTCACAGGAGGAGCTGCTGAGCTGTCTCCTAAGGCTGGGACTGCTTGTCCTGCTCCTGGTGGCCACAGCTGTGATAGTGGCCACAGACCACATGGCCTCCCTCCTGGCACAGGCAGCTGTGAAGTGGGCTCAGAAGCTTCCTGTTGTGCCCATCACACTCACAGTCAAGTATGATGTAAGTAAAACGGTGCGAAGATAGTAGAGTCATTTCCTAGGAGAAAGGAGCAGGGCTTGTTAAACACTTGACTAGCATTTACATCTTCCTTGCCTCCAAGTTGCAGCCAGGGGCCCTGGGGCATTGATAAAGGAACCCGTCTGACCCCTACAACAGCCCTAGGAAGGGGATTTCACCTCTCTTGCCAAGGATACTGAGACCCAGACACCTTAGAATGACTTGTCCCAAGGTCATGCTTCATAAGCAGTGAGATGTCCTGGCCTCCTCATTTTCCGCATTTGTACAGATTAACCTTCCTTATTCTAAGCTGTGTGAGTCTTAAAATGTGATAATGTCTCTAATAAGTTCCGTGCCACATAAAAGATGTTTAATAGAGAGTGGCTGCAGCTAACAACTCACACTGGGATGTCCGAGTGGATACAAGGCTTAGGAAATGTCTGGATCAGGAGCCAGCCAACCATGACCTTAAAGGAAAACCCAACACTGAGGTTTAGATTTTGTCAATAAAGCTTTATTGGAACACAACCTTCCATCTGTTTATTACTAGGGGTGGCTGCTCTACATAGGCACAGATGAGTAGTTGCAGCAGGGACTGTATAGCTCACAAAGCCTGAAATATTTACTACTTGAACAGCAATATATGAAATATTTTCTATCTACTCACTATTGGATATATTTATTATCAGATCAAAGTTTGTATAGACCCTATCTCACACAAAATTCTGTTGCATAAAACATACCAAAGCATCAGAGCCTGAGTTAACAATGTTACTAGCTTGTATTTATCAAGTGCCTACTATATATTAGAAAATTATTTTTCAAATTGCGAAAAATCAATTTAATCAGTCAAGGTGGTCACAGCCAGCTTCTTTTTTCTAATGAAATCAAATGAGCTAGAAAATTATCAGAGTATATTATAGGTGATAAGGATCTGTATTGTTTTGTGAAGTTTTTCTTCAACTACCATACAGTCTGTGCTCAGGAAATTCTGTACAGTGCATTACTTACCGTGGGACACAGGAAAGAAATGTGCCAGGTAATGTTCTAAGTGTGTAACTGTGATTTCTTATTTAAAGTCCTAGAGAAAAGCAGAAGTGGCTTTAGCCAGACATAGTCATGCACACCTATATGGTTTGGGAGCCACCTGGGACTGACTGCTGAGTGGGCCACATTTAACCCATCTATGGCTTTGGGTTCCCCATCTTTTGGGGTTATTGTTTTTTGTTTTTTGAGATAGGGTCTCACTATGTAGTTGAGACTGACCTGGAAGCCACTATGTAACTCAGGCTGATCTCCAACTCACAGCGATCCTCCTGACTCAGCCTCCCGAGTGCTGGGATTACAGGTGTGTGCCACCACGCCCAGCTTCCCTGTCTTTTAAATAAGGATCAATTCTATAGAACTGTGCATGCTTGATGGAATAGTATCACTGAAGGATTCACAGGGCTCACTAAGAGTAAATGCCAGCTGGGTCAGCTGGCTCATGCCTGTAATCCCAGCACTCTGGGAGGCTGAGGCAGGAGGAGTGAAAATTTCAGCCCAACCTGGGCAATGTAACAATGGAGGGGGAGAGCCTATCTCAAAAATTTGAAAATACAAAAAGGACTGGGATCTGGCTCAGTGTGAAGGCTCTAGGTTCAATCCTCAGTGCCAAAGAAAAACAAAAAGTAAATGCCAATGTTTTCTTTAAAATACTCCACTCACAGACACTAACAATAATGTGTGTGGTGCTTTTTATTTGCCAAAAACAGTTCCTCTGAGCACGTATCACATTTGGTCCTCCCCAAAACCCAGAAAGCAGAAGGTTATTTCTGTACCCGTTTTGCACATGAGGGCAGGGACCCTGGGGCCACCCATCCCTGCGAGTCTCCGCAGTGGCAGTGAAAGGCAGGGGCCTATGGTCTCTGTTGATCAGGTTTTTCTCTTCTTGGAAGGCAGCATATTCCGTACTGGACTTCATCCCCTTCCTCTTCAACCACCCAGCCCCTGAGAGCTCCTTCTTCTCGGTGCACAAGGACTACGCATGGGAGCTCCGCCTCACCTCCCGTGACTGCCCACTGCTGCCCGCCCAGCGTCCCTGCACTTCCTGGGCGCTGGCCGCCGGAGCCCTGCAACTCCTGGCCGGCTCCACCGTGCTCCTGGAGACCTACGCCCGGCGCCTGCGGCACGCCATCGCCGCCTCCTTCTTCTCCGCCCAGGAGGCCAGGAGGGTCTGCTACCTTCACAACCGGCTCCAGAGAAGATACGACCGGTGCCAAGGCCAGGAGCTGGCCCGGGGTCTCCTTCGTGCCCCTGACACCCGGCGCTGCCTGTCTGCACCGAGCACGGAAAACCTTTACTACAGACCTTACTTGCAACCCTGGCCCTATGACGCCTCCATGTGACTATAGGTGTTTCGCTTCCCCTCTCTAAGCCTGTTTCTACATCTGCACAATAACTGCGTGGTGACAATCATGCGAAACCACTTTCCACTAGGGAATGCACAAGGAGGGCCTGAAAGGACGATGCAGGGTCAAAGTAACAAGTGGAGACAGCTGGAGGCTCCTGCAGGCCACGTGGAGATCACTCAATCTCCCACCTACGCCAACTGCTTTACCTGTTAGGCGGAGACTCAGCCTCGTGAGTTCACTTTCATGTTTCTGGAACTTATTTATATGCCCCTGAAGTCTCTGAACTTATTTATAGTAATCTAAACTTTTTATTTTATAAATAAATGTATTTATTAAATCTTAGATGAAATATTAATTCCCTGCTTTGAATTCTTTCAGGGGCTTGCCATCTAGGATTATCAGGGTTAACAAATAAAAATAGAGGACACCCAGGTGAATTTGAATTTCAGATTAACAGTGAAACACTTGTTCACTTTTTCTTGACTCCTAGGTAGCTGACTCCTGGGTCAGCCATGTGCAACCAATTATGCGATCTTGCATTCTCCCACTGTCAAAAGAAAGAAAATTACAACAAATGTAGTTAAATTTCTTGATTGGCATTTATTTGAGATATTAGAAGCAGGCAGCATCTCATTCTATAAAGTGGAGTAAATGTTCCCAAGGGCTGACAAAGGCTCAGAAAAGGGCTGTAGAAAGAAGGAACAAAGAACAAAAAAGTGGATCGGTGCATAAATCCTATTTATTAATCATTGTAAAACACCCAAATTGTTTTTTTCAAAAGGGGATATGAAAAATATAAAATATGAATTTACAATCTTCATCATCATCTTTGCACTTACAGGAGAAAGTTGTCTTACTTGCGAGGTCTACCTCTGGCCTTTCTTTCTGCAGAATCTGAGCAATAGGTAAACCAGAAAGTGAAACAAATATAAAACTCTAAGTTGATCTAATTTAAAAAGAACTAACGTGGGCCAATTGAATGCTGTTATGGTTTGGATCTAGAATGTCCCACAGGTCTCATGTATTCAGAGATGAGGTTTTCAGAGACAGTGATTGGATCGTGGGGGCACTATATGCATCCATGGACTGACCTACTGGTGAGTTCATGGCTAAAGGTGTTATTAGGAGGTAGAGCCTGGTTAAGAGTGAGCCCCAGAGAGCATGGCCTGGAAGGGTGTATTCTTGACCTTGGCCCCATCTCTCTCTGCTTCCTTGCTGCCATGGGTTAAGCAGCCTTCTGCCATTATGCTGTTTCTATTTTGGAGCCAGCTGACCATGGACTGAATCCCCCAAAACCATCAGCCAGATTAAATCTCTTCTCCTATAAGTGGTAGATATCAGGTATTTTGTTCCAGTAACAGAAAAGTGACTAGAGTAGATGTCCTGTCACCCAAACTTTAATTACAAGTAAAAGAAACTACTGTAGACATATTAAGCCAGGGAGGATTTAATCAGAAAATTGTGTTTTTCCTGGGCTGGAGTAAAAGGCCCCAGAACCAACCCAACAGAGATCTCTCCTCTGCTAACATCAGAAATGCATGAAATCAGAAAGCTACAACTCAATGTGTTTGCCCTAAGGTTGCACAGTTTTGGCTATGTCCATGTGTAAAGAAGATATCTCTACAACCAGCACCATGCTATACAGATGAGGTAAGCCCAGCAGCATGTGGACACCCCAGCTCAGTCTCTCAACCCCCTGAGCTAGTGCCAGACCCTAACATCTCTGTTCCTGCAGCCCACCAGAGCCCCCAGAAAGGCTGCTTCATTGCATACTCTAGGGTTATGCTATCCACATCATACTCCAAGTGAATGACTTTCCCCAGACTATGTGCCAGATGCCTTTTAGCCTGCAAGACTATATATAATAGTCTGGCTCTCAGGACTCAGCTTGAAAACAAAGACAGAAACAGCAGAAATTAAGCCTCTGCTTGCTTCCACATTCCTTAATTCATGTAGGTGCATCCGATTGGCAAACCTGAATTACACTGCTACCCTAGCTGCAAGGGAGTCAGGAAATTATAGTTTTTAGTTTCCAACCACTTTAGTTTAGACATACTTAAATAATGACTGAAACTTTTTGGACTGCTACTTATAGGAGATATACCTTTTATTTTGCACCCCTCCTTACACACAGGCATACTCAACTCAAACATTTAATTAAACCACTTATTCTTAATTTGTACAACATATCCTGATATTTTCTATCCTATCCAATCTTGTCTATTCTATCTTATGCCATTTAATCATATATGATTCTATTTTATTCTAGTTCTTTAAGAAAATTACTGATAAGGGCTTACCAAATTAAAAGCCCTGTTGAGGAAAGTGGGTTGGGTAGTAAAGGGAGGAAAGTAGATTGGAAGTCAACCTGTCCTAGGGATGGACACTTCAGATATGTGGGACAGACAGTATTGAGATAGCAAAGTGAGAGAGTGCTGGGAGTGCAGTTGCCTGGAGTATGCAATGTTGAAACACAGAGGCAGAGAAAGGAGGTTCTAAACAGTTTTAAAAAACAAACAAAAACCTTAAGTTTTTCCCAAGAAACTCAAAAAACAAAATCCCCCCACCGGGTTTTTGTAACAATGTTTATTTGAATGCTAGGACCTAATAGGGGCCCATGAAAGCTGATTCCAGGGGAGGGACACACAGAGCTTCCACCAGAGACTTTCCATCCAGGGTGCTGCTGAAACGGACACGCAAAAATACATGTTAGCAGGCATGTTTTCAACAGAATGGGAAGAGAAATGCTGTAACCTGTCCTTTCCACCCCACATCCCCCAGCTCAGGGGTATTTATAGACTGTGAGTCACCACTTGCAGTGAGCTGAGGCACACTCCAGTCACTTTTCCTCCCACTCCCCAAGGTGATTGTGTCTATCTAGGAGAGCACTGCTGTCCTCCCACGACACCCGCCTCCACTGAGGCACCCTCTCCCACAAAGCTGCCCAGTTCCTCGTTCACACAATGACACATGCACGTATTTCTTAATTACACAAATAATATATAAATCCGTTTTATGAAAATCAGAACCTTATAGACAATAGTAGCTAGTGTTTGTTGGGTGCTTATGATGTGCTGGAAATGTACTAGAAAATGTTTCATAACTGGATTTTTAAAGGCCCATCATTAGTGTTTGCTGATGTCTGTGGTGGGATAATTCCCACCGGGGATTTTGAGCTACCACCCAGTGTTCCCAGAAGTGGATGGAGAGGAGATGCTCACAACTAGCTCCCAGGAACTGGGGTGGGCCAACTCCAGAACACTGCTAGATGTATCCAAAGCTCTGATAAAAGCTGTATACACATCATGGTACAGTGGCATCTCAGTTCCTGAACTCAATTCTCCTCATGATTCTGGTCACAAGCTGTTAGGGAACTGATCATGTTAAAGTATGCTCTGATGCCGCCTCACAGGCTGCGTTCTCCTGGTACATCTTGGCTCCTAAAATGACCTCATGCCCTTATCTCTGGTTTCCCTCCCCTCAAGGCCACAGTGGTCCGGAGCAGTTGAAACCTGCTTCTGCAGGGCTGGACCCCTAAAACAACCTGGCCTGTGATAGGTTAAAAGTAGCTCACCTCTCATTAATAATCAATAGCCTAGCCCAAAACTAATAAAAGACCCTTCCTTTCTTTGTTCTTTTCTTCTGCCTCTTCTCCCTCTCTGCTCCTGCTCCCGGAATAAAGTCTTCTGTCGGACCTCTCGGTGTGTGAGTGGCCTAGTTGTTGAGTATCACTATTCTTTTCACAAACTGAACAGGATGAGAACTGAATCAATTTTTCCCAAAATATCAAAACTGAACCTAATCATTGAATTTGATTCAGTTCTCATCTGTTAGGGCTTGTGTCTAGATGTCCCCCCTCCCCAAAGCAACCTCCAGTCATAGGTGGGGCTTTTTTTTTTCAGAGGTGGATGAATCTAGCGTCTGTAATACTGAGATTAAGAGTGTGTGATTATTAAATCAGTACACTACTTGGTTTGGCACCACCCTAATCCTGGTAGCCTGGAAGCAATATGAGACACAGAAAGAGGTGTGTCTTCCCTTGTTGCTTCCTTTGCTTGCTTGCTTGCTTTTGCTGTCTTCTGCCTGCCATGAACTGGCTCTCCTCTGTGTCGCCCCTCTGCAGTGCCATCCTGCTTGGAGCTAGTCAGTTGTGGACTGAAACCTCTATAAACTGAGCTAAATATACCTTTCCTCCTTTAACTTTGAGTGTCAGGTATTTTGTCTCAGCAACAAGAAAAGTAACTAAGACATCATCCAACTTGGGTTGTGACCAGAATTGTAGGAAGAATCAAGTTCATGTGCTGAGGTACCATTGTATTTGAACTTTATAAAAGTACAATATCTGAGATGGATGATATTATTATCCTTCTTCATGAGATAAAGATACCGAGATTCCAAGGAGTTAAGTATTTTGCTTACAATTAACCAGCTACTAAGCTGCACAGCCAGAATTTAAATTCAAGTAGTCTGGCTGTCAGAATCTGTGGTGTTAACTGGTCTCCCAAGCAAGGAAAAAGTCCCCTTTTTTTTTACTACCATACTCAGATCTCTTAGCTTCCTTTTTGCTCCCATGCATAACCACTATCATCAGCTGGATGGCACACTTTTCAGATATTTTTCTATATATACATACATGTGTGTAAATATAGAAATATGTAATATTGTTTGTTGGGTTTTAAATGATATCATACTTTAGTAATAGTTCTACAACTTGTTTTCTCACTGAATAATATGCCTTGGCCTTGCCACATCCTCTTTCAGTGTTGAAGAGATCATTATGTCACGAATTGTTTAGCAATTCTGTTGGCAAATTTCTAATTTTTTAAATTGTAAACAACACTGCGCGGGCATCTTTTTTTTTTTTTTT